TCAGGCTGCGCATCCACAATGCCACAGCTGCCAATGAGGGGACGTACCAGTGTGAGGTGGAGGTCTGGAGGAGGAACACCCTGCCGCTGGGGCAGCCGGCAGCCCCTGCCAGGTCCAATGCAGTGGGGATAAAGGTGGTGCTGCCAGGTAAGCAGCGCCATGAGCGCTTCTTCAGCAGAGGTTTCTCCTGCTGCAACTTTAAATCCATCAAACATGACCAGGGGCAACCAGGACCGTGGATGGCTGGGGTGTCTGCAGTGGGGTCACCTCCCAGGGCCGGACAATATGGCGCTGCCTGTCCTATTTCTTCCTCAGCACCCACAGCTTCTAACAACACTCTTGGAGGCAAATTTGGTCTTGTGGAGTGGCAATGCCAATTTGTTTGCAGATTATGCCAAGCATACAGGGATCAGCCTTGCTGTGGGGATTCTAAGCCTTGTTCCTGGGAAGTAGTAGTTCCCTCAAGGAGTCCAAATGAATGCTAGGGGTGCAAGGTGCCTCCCATGATGTGGGCTTCTGGGGCCTGGAGGGTGGTGGAGAGAGACCAGCCCCGAAGCTGGTGCTGGGATATGTCTGTGTGCCCCTGAGATTCCTCTGGTGTGTTCGAGGTGTGCTGAGAAAGTGCCAGGGCTCTCTGCTGGGCTGGGAGCCAGCCCTGAGCTGCAAGGTGCTAGGGGCTCCGGGTGGAGGTATCTCCTCCTGGGCATGGCTGGGCTGCGCAGCCGGGTCCCTGCCCAGGGTTCCCTTTTATGGCCACCTCTGCAAGCAGGGTCCACGCTGCTCCCGTGCCTGCCAGCATGGAGCAGGGAACCTCATCCTCTTATGGAAAAGAGATGTTGCAAATGCACTGCAGCCCCCCGGCCAGCCTGCTGTGTGCCTGCGCCCTGGCAGCAGCACGGCATCAGCTTGCCCTGCTCACGGCTGGGGCTGCTGGAGGAACTGAAGTGGTTGTCCTGGCCAAAACCTCTGAGCCTGTGGAGGCAGGCATGAGAATACAGGGGTGGTTTTTTCCCCTCGTGTCTGTTCTGCCAGCAGAGGAGAGTTTTTGCTCTTTTTTCATGCATTAAGTGCTCCTTCGTCTAATCCTTGGATTTTTGGGATCACAACCCAGTGAACTGAAATTATGCATTTTCCATGTTTTTTAACTGATGGGTTTGCTGTAGCGTAAGCTACGTACATTTCCTTCCCTGTTTAGGTTCGTTTCCATGGTGCTCTCCCTCCTGCTCCGCTGCTGCTCTTTCCTCTCCTCTGCCAAGCTGGGTGCTGGGGTGCTCCGTGTTACAGCTGAGCTACAGCCAGCCGGGGGAAGGAGCTCTTCAGGAAGGTACTGAGGCTGGGGGTGACAACAGGCAGTGGCTGTGGGCATGCGTTAGTAGTGTAAATGGCATGAAGATGAGCAGGTGTAATTGTAGAGCGTCTACACAGAGGAGATGGTGGCAACAGAGCAGCGAGATATGACAACATTTGGCTCCAAATGGATTGCAGCTGTTACTGGGTTCTGCGATGCTGTAAGGATGGTGGGAGCTGGGAGGGGGCGATGCGCAGTGGGAGTTTAGTGGTGTGTCTCTGAGAAAGGCAGTGTGAGCCAGAGAAGGATATTTGGGAAGGTAGAGAAGTAAGTCTGGGAGGGAAGCTGGGTCTAGCAGCAATGGGATGAGGCGAAGCTGCAGAAAATGAAGCTGCAAATCATGAAAATCACCAGCCTGTTTCTTCACATATAAAATCTTATGGTTGGAGCCTGCAGAGTTACTGGAGTTCTTGACTTTTACTTCGGCACTCTGTTTATCACTTGATGTCAGTCGGTGCTTTAGGAGTTTAAATGCCACTGTGGATCTGGCCTGTAGCTTCAGACAGGAGGGACACGCGTAAAAGCCCGTAACAGGAGGGGAAGGAGGACAGGTCTTTTCCATTTCCGACTTCTTAGGTAGTTCAGCATCTGACTCGTGGTGGGGTCCCAGAGTTAGCTCCCTGGGCAGGCAGATGCTGCCCAGCGCTGAAGGGAATGCTCCCACGGCTGCCCGCATGGTCGCTGTCGGGGCCATGCCCTTCCGCATGCTCTGCTGCTCCTGGGCTGGGTGGAACTCAGCCATCAGCAGGCAGGGTTTGCAGTGAGACGGGCAGCGAGAGGCTCAGCTTTGTTGATTAAATTGAAAACAAAAGGGAAAACAGCACCACGTCTTTCTGTGCCAAAGGAAGAGGCAGGCAGCTACTCTGCCCTTTTCTATAACTGATCTTTAGTAGGAGCGAGAGGAGACCTGGGGCTGGAACAAAGGGGCTTTGCAGCAAGTGCTCTGCTTCCTCTGGAGGTGATCTTCTCTGAGAGCAGAACGGCAATTTTTCTCACCAAAATCAAGTGCTCACAAAAGTGGTTCCTGTGGCTCCTCTCTGAGCTCTAGTAGCTTTTGCTTCCCTGGATTATTTTCTGTCTTGGCGGGTGTCAGGCTGGGCCACACCTGAGCGAGAGGTCCCCCTCGGGCAGCTTGCTGTTTCCTGTGCTGGCAGCCTCTCTGCCGCTGAGGAAAGGTCCTCGGTTTTACCTGTCCGCTCCCGACCGCAGCAGCGCTGCCAGGAGGAGCTCGCTTGGAGGAAGGCACAATGTTTTGCTCCAGCGTGGTCCCACAGCTGGCTTCCCTGAAGCTCCTTTTCGCTGGGAGAGGTGGCAGAGCTGCCTGCGATGAGCAGTGGGGCTATGCTGCTGGCACACTGTCCCCCACAGCCAGGGAAGGCACATCCATGTGTCTGACATGGGAAGGCTGTTCCAGATGTCCACCACTTCCCCGGGTCCTGCCTGCTTCTCTCCTGTGGCCTTTGAAACGTGGGCAAAGCCTCCAGCTGGGAGTATTTTTTCTTTGCTTTTGGTGGAGTTCACTTCTGGGTCCCTGAATAAAGCTCCTGAACTTCAACAGGCTGGCTGAGTGATATTTCTCTGTACCAAGCAGCTGAAGTTAAGAACCAAGTGTCTTACTTTTTCCAGTGTGAACAGTTCACCTGTCACAGAAACACAGGATGGCTGAGGTTGGCAGGGACCTCTGGAGGTCGTCTGGTCCAACCCTCTGCTCAAGCAGGGCCACCTAGAGCAGGTTGCCTAGGACCATCTCCAGACGGCTTTTGAACATCTCCAGTGTCCCTCTCTGAAGATTTGTGCTTCCTTAGAGCTGGCTCTAGGCTGGGTATACTTTTAGGTACCAAGGTTGGAAGACATCAGCTTCCATCTGTTTCCTAAGTGCGCTCAAGTCTGCTTGGTCTCTGCGTGTGTGGATCTGATGAATTTGACAGCTTCCTAATTAGGGTGATTGCTTTCCCATCTCTTCTGCTTCCTGCCCTTACCTGTTTCTTTAGAGCAGCAAACATGCACTGTGAAATGCAGGACAGGACTCAACAGCCACAGCCCCCTCCTGGTCCACAGGCCCTCTCCATCGCCCGCTGCCGTTGCATTCCTTGGGAAGGTGCCATGGAGGGGAGTGCCCTGCTGAGCCTGCGGCCGAGGGCGGGGGGCTGGGACGCTCTGCGGGGTCATCTCAGCGTGTTCTCTGCAGCCCGTCCCAAACTGCTAAGCCCTAAATTGAACAATTGCTGGGTATAATCACAGTGGATGTTGAGAGCTGTGTTACGTGGTTTCCAATTAATAACCACAGCAAACACCTGAGATGGCGACTGTTAGCGAAGCCCACGCAGGCTCTGTAGCCTAAGACACTTGCTTATAGTCTCCAAAGGTGTGGGCTTGTTTTGTCACGTCTGTGTGAGCCTGCGGATAGAAGCAGTGGTAGACGGATGTGTTTGCTTCAAATAGAGGCTTTGCCTCCAAGCTCCAACATGGTGGCTGCCTCCATCCCCTGGTTCCTGTCCCATGGTCCCCCAGGCGCCTCCTCCGCTATTCCCCTGCCCAGTAGCACCCAGCGATTCCCCGCCACAGTTCAGATAAGGGTGTGTGTGTTTGCTCTTTCTCTCCTTTCCCCACCTTCCCTGCTCCAGCATTCCCTAACGGGTCTTTGTCCTCTGAGCACCCTCTTCCTCCCTTCTCTTTTGGCGGGTGCCTCAGGCCAGCCTTATTCCTCTCTTTTCCAGCTGCAGGTGGTGTGATTATTTTGTTTCTCCATTTTAGAAAGCAAGCTTCAGGTAGCTACGAAAGAGAGCTCTGTGGAGATTGCTGGCGGTGCTGATGCAGCCATTGAGTGCAGGATCGTGCTTGCTCAGAATAATTCTCAGTTGGCCGTTACCTGGTACCTCCTACCTCCTACTCCGGCAGATGCAACCCCCCTGCAAATCATACGGGTCAACTACAACAGCATACTGGAATACGGTGCTGAGTTCAGCTCTCCTACACAAAAGTCCCGGTTCCTGAGCCAGAGGGTGTCCAGCAACGTTTTCTGGCTGCGGATACTCTCTGCGAACCCCGGGGACCAGGGCAGGTACTACTGTGTGGTAGAGGAATGGCTCTGGCTGGTGGACGGCTGGTACAAACTCGGAGAGGGAGCATCAGGAAAGACCACGCTGGAGTTCAAGCTCCCAGGTGAGCAGGTGGTTATCTCTTGTATAGGTGCAGCTGGAGAAGGTTGCATCTATTTATGACGGGGCCCCTGCCAGGCCTCTACTAAGCTGTCAGGGCTTAGGAGAAACGGTGACTCCTGCGTTGGATCTGAGACTTAGGGATGCAGGAGGTGTCAGTGCCTCTCAAAGGGAAATAGGGAATTAGGAGGATTTATCACATCCTTCCAAACCAAGCCAGCTGGTATTTTTGCCAGTGGCAGATGTTATCTAATGCTTCCTAACAAAGTGAATCGTGGTATTTTCTTCTCCCTCCAACTCATGGCGTGTTTGGTTGGTTGTACGGTGCTGTGAATAGAGAAGCACCCTTTTCCTGGTACTCCTGAGCATCCCAAAGCAAGACACTCATTTTTCCTCACCCTGCAGCACACTGCTGCATAGAACAAGGCTGAAAGCTCAGCTGCTCCCACCTTGGGCACTGCACTGCTGGGGTGCACAGTGGGTCTCCGTGGCTCAGTTCTTCACTCACTCAGCCTCACTTGGCTTATGGGTTGCAGCCCTAAATAAACTGGACCAGAGAATTCCAGCTTCCTAAATAGCTTTTGGTCCAAAGGATGCTGTATCACTTATTTGGAGGGGGCAGGAAGTATTACAGCAAACAGGGGGCAGAGATGATGAGGGGGCAAAAACGCCCCAGGGAGAATGAGTCAGAGGAGCCAGGGGCCTGTGGGTGTCCTGCAGAGGCTCTTGCAAGAGGCCATCCCAATCCGCCACGCTTCGCTCCAGAAGTTTTCCGTCAGCCTGCGGTCGCAGGCAGGGGAATTTCTACTGCAGTGCTAGACCGCAATGTCTCTTTCTGCTTGCATCCTACCCCAGAGCGCGAACTGCAGCTGGAGAAAACCAACCACAGCATCTCGGCGAGGGAGGGCGAGGAGGTGACGCTGCGCTGCCTGCTGCAGGGTGCCCGCCAGCCCACCACCCACCTGTCAGCCACCTGGTTTCGGGAGGAGGAGGAGAGCCGCCGTGTCAGGCACCTGCCCCCCCTCCACCGCGATGGCGGCATCGAGTACC